ATATAATAAGAGATGTGAAAATAAATAATAAGTGTTAATTAATGAATAATAAAATATAGAGATGTCTATATATTATCATTTTAAAAATAATATTACATTTATACAAAGGTAAATATTTTTAGTCAAATTACTATTCTTTATTATATTTTTTAATTATTTTATTAAATATTAATTTTATAAAGTAAATAATAAACACACGTTTTCTTGAATTTTTATTAGCTTAATTAATTTTAAATTTAATATATTACTTAACTGTACATTACATGAATAACCCACTTTAATACCATACATGATATTTTGTAATTATAAGACTGTATAAAATTATTTTACATAAAAAATGTATATCTGTTTTCAATAAAATAAAAAATAATTCATAATTGTGATCTCATTTATCATTTATTTATTTAATTTGGGGTAACTCGTTGTAAATTTGCAATTGGTTAATTTTACAGAAATAAAGTTCCCTTTTTTACCATTGTTCTAAATCTGGGTTTCCTTTCTATGAACAAAACAAAGCATGGCTCTTTTGTTGGATTGACGCCACCCCATTTGATTTTTCTCTCTCCTTTCTCTCTTCTCCCTCTCCAAAGACCTCACAGAGCAAACAACAGAAAATGGGGGCGTACAGAGCCGACGACGATTACGATTACTTGTTCAAGGTGGTGCTGATCGGCGACTCCGGTGTCGGCAAATCCAACCTTCTTTCTCGCTTCACGCGAAACGAGTTCAGCCTCGAATCCAAGTCCACCATTGGTGTTGAGTTCGCCACCAGAAGCATTCGCGTTGATGACAAGGTTGTCAAGGCTCAGATTTGGGACACTGCTGGTCAAGAAAGGTACCATAAAATCCCAAACCTTTTATTCTCTCTCACTTTTTTCAATTATTGTTATTATTATTCTCTTTGTATATATGTGATTTGATTTTTGCGTTTTGGGAAGGAGGAATATTTGAGGAGGTAGTAAAATTGGAAGCTTTATCATGTTTGAGGGTACTTTTTTGTGTTCTTATGTTATTATTTGGTTGGGCCTAAGCTTTTGTTTTATGATGAAACCGTTAAATCGTGGCATTTATGGCTTTGAGCTTCTTAATATAATGAGCTAAATTGTTTTGTTTGTTAGTTGTTGCTATTGATGAGGTTTAAGTTTTAGTTTGTTGCGCGAAAACTTTGGTGGTGGTGTTTTCGATCTCCTTGCTTCTTTAAAATGAGGTTGGAGTTTTTGGTTACTTTGTGGGGAACTTTTTTACTAAACAATGAAAGACTTGTGAAGATAATGTATCATCTGGCATACCAATGTCCGAAGTTTGTAATGATAAGATGGTGAGCAAGAAAGTTGATACGATATGTTGGATGTTTCTTACTAATGAAACTTGAATTTGGAGGAAAGTGTTTCAACTCTGTATAGCAGGTTGGAAGACTTTTCATGCCATTAGAACCTATTAAGATCTCGAATAATCTGGGTATATGGCAAAGTACCCCTTGTTATGACTTGAGGCATGTTTGGATGCACATGTGGGATCCACAGCCAAACTAGCTTCATATCTATCGATGGAGAAGCTACTCTTTGTTGCTTCTGTTGGATGTGGAGAGAAAGTGTTGATCCACGTTTTACATTTGGTTCCAAACATGCACTTGGGCAATTACGATTTTTCTTCATTTGCTATGTAAGAAAAATGGAGACTGGGGCTCTATTCGATCGAGCTTGCCTCCAGTACCTTCCTAGTGGCTTGGACAGGATCAAGTCATTCGTAGCTCCTTTGATTAAACTTTGGGGTTTAAGTTAGGATCAATCTATTTTCAATTTTAATATAACCAGTTTTCTATATCCTGTGCATCCAGAGATCATGCTTAATTTCCAAAAATATGCATTTGAATTTTTTCTTCAAAACGGCAAAAAGAACACCTTTTCCCTAGTGTTCTTTATGCAACAAAGTTGAAACTCATGACTTCCTTTGTAACTTCATTTTCTATCTTAGCTATCAGCTATTTGAGGAACTTGACCTTGTTTAGGCTTAAAGGAAAAATTATATATATATATAAGAAATATAATTATAGGTTGAATGCATGACAAGTGTGGGAAAGAAATTTAAAATGGGTGACACATCATTGCCATGATGTTTCTTCGCTAACTCTTTAAGATTGATATGTATGTCAACATGCTTATGTTATGGTTAGAGTTGCTGGTAATTAGGTAGGGGTTTTATATTAACTGCTGAATGATGAAAGATATTAAGACAACTGAGCTAGTATTATTATGATTAGAATGCCTGAAATTTTTCGTAATATAATGCTGAAAAAGTCAATACAGTAATGTTGTTAAAATCTAGTTAGCCTAATAGTTACAGAGTATATTTGGATACAAGTTATGTTTTTAAGAGTTTTCTACTGAAAATAAAGAGTTATTTGTAGTAAAGAAATTCTCAGAAACACTTTTAAATTTATAGTCACCGCAAAACTGGCCAGTGGGCATATCCTCAAATTGATTCCCTTCTAATGAAACAGAATTCAGTGGAAACTTTAGGTGAGATGAGACTAATATTATTTCCTGTATTTGGTTTGACATTCTGTACCACCAGAGTTTATTTTTATCGCTAGTTTAACTACACTGATTAATTTATGTATTGCTTGTGTCAATATGATTTTTCACCTTTAATTTATTTTTAATGCTAGCTTTAACTATAGTGTTAGCACTGGTGGGGAGAGTAGATTGCACAATTGCTAACCTTTGTGAAAAGGGGGAGAGGGAGACTAAAATGGTCATGAAAAGAAATTAAGTGAAGTCCCATGGTGAATAATATCCCCGATAATTTAGCCTCTCGCTGAATTCAATGGTGTTATGCAATTCAAGTAACCGAGATCTCATCGAGTGCAATAAGACTTTTGTTATTGTTGTAATGATAGCTTTATGTATTCAAAGATCCAATGCCTTTGTCAATGCTTCTTTATTTGCAAAATGATAATTTCAACGTCTCATTTCTAGTCTGCTTGAATACAACTCAGTTGAAGATCATGACACTTTGAGCCATTGCTGTTTTCTTTTCTAACCAATTGCTGTCTTTCTATGGGGACTAATCATATCTGCCAAGTTTTGAAGACAAGATATATAAGAAAAGATAAACATAAAGCTTGAGGAAGGACGCACACAGAGTTATTGATAAAATAAAAGTGAAAAAACTAGAGCTAATCTTTCTTTTTGGTGAATAAGTTGATCGTTCAGTATCCTTTAGCCTCCTAATTGCGCTGGATTGCTGGTCTTTTAATTAAATGCCATAACATTGTGTGTATCATTTAGTGAAACTGTGTTTATATGCAAGCAAGCTAGTTAATCTTGTTGATTCAGAAATCATAACAAGAATTTTGTAGTAACCATCACCTAATTTTAGACTCCATGTGAATAATGATCTGCTGTGCTGTATTTTATTAAATTAACTTTTCATGTGAGATATCTATTTTAGTTGTTTTTTTTTCATTACTGAAGGTACCGAGCAATTACAAGTGCATATTATCGAGGAGCTGTTGGTGCTTTACTCGTGTATGATGTTACCCGCCATGTTACATTTGAAAATGTGGAGAGATGGCTAAAAGAGCTGAGAGATCACACTGATGCCAACATTGTGGTGATGCTTGTAGGGAACAAAGCTGACCTGCGTCATTTGCGAGCAGTATCCACCGAAGATGCTACAAGTTTCGCTGAGCGAGAGAACACATTTTTCATGGAAACATCCGCCCTCGAGTCCTTGAACGTTGAAAACGCCTTCACAGAAGTGCTGACCCAGATCTATCATGTTGTAAGCAAGAAGGCTCTTGAGATTGGGGATGATCCAGCAGCTTTACCAAAAGGGCAGACAATTAATGTTGGGTCTCGTGATGATGTATCAGCTGTGAAGAAAACTGGATGTTGTTCTGCTTGAGTGTGTAGTAAAAGTCAGTCTCTGTATTTTTACTTTAAAATTTATTCCCTGTTTATACCATGTAGAAATTGGCTTCACAGCATCATGATTATTTAGGGAGCATCAAACTTTTAAGTTTCTGCTTTGGTCTGTAGAGAATTCTGTTCAAAATTAGCCAAATGTTTAGGAAACACGCACATTGATTTTTGCATAATTCCTATTTTTGTGCCCTTTAAGATATTTATTTATCTAATTTCCTAGGTATCAGTTTGGTTCTTTTCTAATCTTCATCATGCTTTTATTTGTTCTTATCTATGCCTGCATTTGAAAAGCAGATGTTCAATCTGGGTCTTCCTTTGCTTAGCTTTTCTCTTCATAATGTAGAGAACATTGAAAACTTGACTATATTTTATCTTCCCTTTTGAAGCATATTAGCTTAGCTCCTCAGTATCGTTATCATCATTGATTTAAATTATAAATTAGGAAAAGGTTGGATTTCGTTCTGAGGTCGTATCAAGAAAGCAATATTTAAAAAAAAAATAAAAAAATAAAAGGAACAGCAAGCAAATAGTCTTCGTTTGACAGAATACAAGGATGAACAGTATCCGATCAGCTTTTTTTTCCCCTACTTATTAGTTTTGTGCTTGTTAGCATTTTCCAATATAAATAAGTCAGCTGTGCAAACGTCTAGGATTAGAAGAAAGAGAGTGCATGAGTTATAGATCATCGCCACTTTATTAAAAGCAATGAAAAATACTATAAATCAAACTATGTGAAGAAACGTTCAACACAAAGATAAATGGATAAATGAAAAATACTATAGCCACCGTCAATACCTTCATAAAAGATAGATTAGAAAGTGTGGATCTTTTCCAGCACTTGAAATTTTCTGTAAAAGAGAAATACACACAAATATGTGAAATAGTTAAAAATAATAATAATTAACATTAATCCTTACTTTGTGTATCTTTTTCTTACCGTAAATTTTTAAAACAAGATGAGATACACACCCTAATTAGGCTGCAAAAATTGTATTAGGAAAATGATCGTCTTGTTTTACTTGCCAGACAAATAACAATTTTACTTCTCCCCAAACCATGATTCCCGTAAAAGCTTGTTCCTTTTACCTTTTACTTAAACCAAGGTAAAAAAAAATAATAATAAATAAATAATAATAATAATAATAACATTCCATTCAAAAAAAACTAAGCATGTTATTAATCAATTATTAATTGACGAAAGCTAGGAAGGACCACCTTGATAGGGTCTACTGTGAACCAAAAATTTCAATCATTAGATTGATCTCATCGTGATAGATTAAATTTACATAAACCACCCCAGATTATTTCTTCCTACAACTTCTGAAACGCAATTGGACCAACTCACACCCTTTGTCTTCTTCACCATGCACAGATCTCAGATCCTATACAATATAAGGGTGAAAATGCTCCTCTTACGGTTTATCTTGCCTCAAGGTGAAAATGCTCCTCTTCATGCACAAACCTCACTCTTTCTATTATTTCAGTTAATTTACTTTTAATACTTTTTCTTACTTCATTAAATAGTAATCTCTTATCTCTACACTTAAAGTAGAAAAGTGTGGATTAAATCTTTAAAATGTTACAGTTTTTAATATGAATTTCTTATTATAAATAGGAAGAAAGAGACACTATGTACCTCTCTGTTTAAAAAAAATAAAAAATTACTTTGAAGTTGAAAAGTTTGAAAACTGAAAATCAAGTTGAAATAGGAAAAGAAGAATAATTAAATGAAGATAATGAGAGAAACAATGATTTAGAGGGAGATTTGGGTAAATTAGTTCAAAATTTGTGTAAACTAAAAAAAAAATACCTCCTTTACGAGTAATATAGATATAGGTTTTAAAATTATAAAAAAATATTTTAACTTATATAATTAAATCATATTTAAAAACTACTATTTTAGTTTATGCAATGTACATATTAAATGTTTATTATATATAACTAAAATTTATAATAAATTATATATACAAATAAATATTATGTTTGAATATATATATATATACTTATTTTTTAGTATAAATAAATTTTGGACTAAGAGCATCTTGAGTATTCGATTCTTAATCATTTCTTAAATTTAGGTACCCAGCTCTTATAAGAATTTTACATTGGAACACATTAACATGATAGGAAAGATTGCTAAAATTTAAGCATTATTTCTTATATAAGAGATAGTTACTTAAGAATAAAAAAATAATTTACTATCTCCCTGCATGACTACACCCTTCACCAAGTTCTTTCTATACAAAAGTGAAGTGTAAATAAAAAATTATAAAAGTTTGAGATGCTTATAAGAACTATTTATTAGAAGTGATATAGTATAGTGAATCTCATTTAAAATGAAATAAGAACTCAAAGAAATTGCTTATAAGAACTTGTACTAGAGATGCTCTAATTTACTCTCATAACTATCTCTAAATCACATTTTCTTTCATTTTCATTTATTCATTTATTCCCTCATTTTCCTCAACAATATTTAGTTTTCAAACTTTATCTTTTTAAATAACCACTTATTATCTTATTATTTTTTTTAAATATAATATTTTTGTGTCCACATTTTTTAAGATGTTTTTACTTTTTATTTTGATAATTGCACACTCCCTTATTAAACAAGAATTATAATTTATCCTAAATCATTTTGCTCATTAATAAACTACGCAGTCCACAATCAATTTTGAAACTTTCACACATTGCACACGACATTAATAAGATCCGAAGTGCCTTTTTCACTAGTTTCTATATTTTACTAATATAGCTTGTCTGATTAATATATACATTCTGTTAACTATTTTTTCCCTAACTTCTGAAACTCTCTTTCAAATTTCTCACTTTTCACATAAGAACTCAAAACTGCTCGTAAGCATGTGATTGTTAACCGATCACACATAATAACTTTAATTATTTTTATTATTTATTTTGTTTTTATTTTTAAAATAAAATACACAAAGGCAAGAAATGCCTTTATGATGCTAGTTATTAATAAAAGAAATTTCTCATTTGTTGTATACAATTTTTGTAGACAACTTTTGTCCTAAAACTACCTTACAAACTACTCTTGATTTTTTCACTATTTTTTCAAAAACTACCCTCACAACTATAATTATATGAAAATTGCTCACCACTTTATTATTAGCTGTTCTGTACCTGTCTAAGGGCACACTCCTTTTCTTCTGGG